AATGGATGTTCTTGTACCTTAGAAAGTGACCTTACTTGCCAATACAGTTCTTGCAGATATAATTAGTTAAGATGAGGTCATACTAGAGTGGACCCTTAATCTAAAAATTAGGAAGGGGACACACACATACACACAGTGTCCTGAGATGAAAGTGATACAAGCCAAAGAACATAAAAAGATTACTGACAACTGCCAGAAGTAGCAGGAAGTTACGGAACACTAGCTCCTTCAGAGCTTCCAGAAGGAATCAAACGTGCTCTCATCTTGATTTCAGACTTCTGGTTTCCAGAAATATGAGACAATAAATTTGTGTTGTTTTAAGACATCTATGTTAGTGGCATTTTGTTATAGCAGCCCTAGGAAACCAATGCAGACAAAATGCACTGCCAATCCTTTTAGCCCTAAGCTGAACGTCCTTTTTCTTCATATCTGTACCCCTAGACTGCATCTGGCCAATGGGATTAATTCCTCTCCTTCTCGGGCAATGACTGCTTAAAGAATGTGGTAGGGATCTGAGATACTAGAATACCGTTTTCTCAACTCCCATTTTTTTTTTCAACTCCTATTCTTGATAAGTCTTCTACCTCTGATTTTGCTTGAGTCAATGTTCACTTGGGGCAGAGAACTGGGCTTGCTAACCCTTGCCAACCCTGCTACGGTAGTTGCAGCTCTCTCAGACTTCAGGCTGCAGGGACAAAGGACCCATATACCAAAGAAATACTAACTGATCTCTTTGTTTTCAGATGGAATGGAACCAGCTTAAAACTTTCTCATTCTTGTTTGACCTTACTCATGGCTCTAGCATGCTAAAATTTTCAAAACTATTTCTTTAATCCTGTTGCCATGTTCAGCACAAGACACACAGTGGACAGTTTTGCCCATTGTTTTACTTACACGTAATCAAAATGCTAACTTCCGAGACTAGGACTGAGTGACACTCACACTTTGTCTTTTCAGATGCAGTCTTATTAGATCTCTAACAATATCACTGTGACTGAATTTCTTGCCTCTATGATCTGCCTAGTCTGCTTGGCTCTATTCTTACATACGATCTTTCTTTATGGTGGGAAGATGGTTGCCATACTTTTAAACTTACATGCTCTCTCATTTTAAATCCATGAACTATTAGCAAAATCATGAGTCATTTCATTGGCTTTGATTTAGCCAATGTACCATTCCTAAATGAATGACAGTAGATGAGTCAATACCAAAAGCTGAATGATTGGATGACTGATGTCTGAGTTATGTGCTCTGGCCTCTACACCTCCAGAAACATGTGGACTGATCATGAGGGAGGACTAAACCCCCAAATGGCCATTTGTAGAAGTGAAGTCAATTTAAAGTAGAGTCAGAAAATGTGCACTACAAATATTCTTATTGGTATTTAAAAATATATGAGAAAATAAAAATCACTGTGCCAGACAGAGATAAAAATTTGCATTTGTGTGTTCATCAACAGGTGAATGAATAGACTGTAGTATACCCATACAATGGAATATTACTTAGTAATAAAAATAAATGAACTATTGATACATGCAGCAAGAGAGATGAATCTCAAAATAATTGTTCTGAGTGTGTCTTAGGTTGGGCAGCTCTAACAAAATGACAAAGACTGGGTGGCTTAAGCAGACATTTATTTCTGACAGTTCTGGAGACTGAAAAGTCCAAGATCAAAGTACCAGAAGGTTTGATTTCTGGTGAGAAACCTCTCTCTAGCATGCAGACAGCACACCTTTTTGTTGTGTCCTCCCATGGTGAGGGGAAAGAGAGAACTCTGATCTCTCTTCCTCTTTTTATAAGGACACTAATCCCATCACAGGCCCAACCCCAAGGCCTTATCTAAACCTGATCACCTCCCCAAAGGTCCGCCTCTAAATACCATCACATTAGGGGTTAGGGCTTCAACATAAGAATTCAGGGGAAACACAAACATTCAGTCCCGCTCAGGGTGGAAGAAGCCAGGCCAAAAAGAGAAAGAAAAAAAAATTATTTCATTATATAAAACTGTAGAAAAGGTAAACTTATCTATAGAGGCAGAAAGCAGATCAGTGACTTATGGGTGGGGCTGGAAGGGAAGGGGTGAGGGTGGAGGGGTGACAGAGGGCATGGGTAAGTTTTGCGGGGTGATGAATATGTTCATTACCATGGTCGTGACTGTTTCACAGGTGTGCCAAAATCGAACAAACTGCACACTAAATATGAGTTCATTCTATGTCAATTATATCTCAATAAAACAGTTTTTAAATTTATATTCTACTGTACATTCTTCCAGTCTTTCTCTACATTATTTGATATTTACTTATTTACTACTAAACGGAGGTTGTAGGATTTTTTTGTATACATTACACCCACATTTTTATTGTACTTTCCATTTCCTTTAATACATCTTTTAATCTCACTGAACTTTTTTTGAAGTTTATTATACATCCAGGAAACAGCATATATTCTGAACGGTCAAACATTGAACCTATGTGTGCAAACAACACCCAGATCAAGAAACAGAACATCCATGCATACGTCGTGCTCCCTCACAACAGACAACCTATTTCCTTCTCTAAGTTAACCATTATCCTAAAGTAACAGCACAAATTCTTCTTGCCAGGATGTCAACTTCATATAAATAGAATCATACAGTAGTAACTTTGTGTTTGGCTTTCTTATCTAATGTTTGTGACATCTATCCATGTTGTTATATTTAGCAGTTCATCCACATTTATTGTATGTTCATAACATTTCATTGTATGACTATAATTTAAATATCTTGTCTACTTTTCATGACTATTTTGTGGATTTCAAGGTTGGGACTCGTACAAATAATATCGCTAAGAATATTCTCATGTTTGTCTTCTAGTGCGCGTTTACGTATTTTATTTGTCAGTACACCCTAGAGTGGAATTATTGGGTCGTGGATACTTTCATTACCTTAAAATGTTCTCTTCGGTTCTTTGGCTACTGCCCCACCCTGTAGTTCTGGGTATCCACTATAGATTTGCCTGTTCTGAAATTTCACATAAATGAAATCATACATAATGTACCCTTTTGTGTATGGCTTCTTTTGCTCAGAGATTCACGTGTGTGTGTGTGTGTGTATACACACACACACACACACACATATACACACGTTTTTTTGTGTGTTTGTTTATTTTTGGTATAATTGCTGACAGCATTTCATTATTTGAGTATTCCACAACCATTTACCGGTTAATGAGCATGAGTGTTTCCAGTTTCGCATTACTATAAACATTTGCATTATGGTTACCTCCCTGATGGCAGTGAACAGCAAAATAGCTAGGTAGTCCAATTTAAAGGTGGTCTTAGTAGTTCTTACTTGTGTATTGTAATAATTTATTAAACAAATTTAATTTTCAATAAATATATTTTATTTTAGGCTATGTACCTGTTGGCTAATGAATAAGCATGAATATTAGATTTCTAATAATTTGCTTGCTCTCTTGAATAATTACACAACCCACTATATATGTGTTGACATTACCTCTCCTAACTCACATATAAATCAAATCATAGGCATCGAATGCAAGATTCAGCCTTGCGATTAATAACTAATTGTATTATTTACTATGTGCCAATTACTGGCCTAAGCAATTTATATATATATATATATATATATATATATATATATATATATTTTTTTTTTAATATAAATATACAGAGGGTGCCAAAAAATGTATACACATTTTAAGAAAGGAAAAAGCTGTATTAAAATTGTAATACT